TTATGGACTCTTTATGGGACTGGTGCTGGCCCTTTAAGCACCTTTTTGGGGCATCAGGAAGATTGGGACACTGCCTCTTTAAGACGGTGTCCCCAGACTTGTTTGGGACACTGCCCCTTTAAGACGGTGTCCCCTGTGTCCCCAGACCTGGTGCAAACCCTTTGTGCCTGCCTGGCTAATTCCCACTTGGTTCAGTAAATGGGGCTTACTGAACCAAGTACCACACAGGCAGACCACCCAGAAGTGGAAGTGTGCAGGCAATTTACCTCCCAGAAGCTGTGGTTAACCACAGCTTAATTGACAATGCTGGGTGGCCTTTGTTCGTTTGCCAAACACGTGGCGTCGGCCATCTTTGTTAATGCGAACAAGGTCAGCGGTATGTGTAGCCAAATTCATGGAATTAAAATCGGCTACATATTTCCGCGAACACTGCTGAGCTCTACCTTCTCCCATACTGATTTTACAGCTGCAGAGACTAAGTCCCATTCGGCGGTGGGACTTAGTCGTCTTTTCAGCCTGAAATAGACCAGCCACACAGCCCAAATCGATGGAACTGTTTTGGGCATGAAAATGTGCTTGCGGTCGGTCATAAAGGGACCTCCAGCTAACTTTTTAACACCTGGATGGATTTGTCTGATTTTTGGTTATGTTTATGTTTAAAGTGTGAAGATTGGATGTGTATGTAACGGACCGTTTTGCACACAAGGGGTAAAAACCGTTTAGGCGATCGGCCCCCTTTCCAGAGATCCAGGCACAGCTACTGCAGAACACCAAAACTCATGAACTGGATACAAAATAGCACTCCAACTCCCGAACTGGAACCTCCCAAATAGCTGCTAGCAGACGAACAGGAAAAGCAGACAATCAGCTTACACTCCTGGCAATCAGTCTCTAACAGCATACAGTGAATCACCCCAAGAACGAGACAAGGCTCCGTGTTGAGGGTCAAGCAGTGGTCTGAGGTGCTGGCACACCCAGTCTGGTTTTTATTACAGTCTTGCAAATACAGGACCGCCCACAGGGAGGTATAAAACAACCAATCACATCACAGTTACATCCCACATATTCCCTCCCCTTATCCTGAGAGGAAACTCAATTATACATACAGTTAAAACATACTTTCTACCCAACTTTCATAACTCTAAAACCATACATCACATTCACATAAAATTACATATTCACAATCAATCCATTCAGGGGAACAACATATAAAAAAATGGCATGAATCAGACCAGGGGTTCAAAAGTTAGTAAAAGTATCTTTTGTTCCCCCTGGCTCAAACAGTAAAAGTAAAACATCCCCACAATGCATCCTGGCTTCCTCCCTTCTGCCCTGGAGATAATTGGAGAAGGAATCTAATTATCTCCAAAGACAGAGCCAAACTCCATTACCCACATGGCAGACAAAAAGACAGTAAAAGACATAAAATTACATACTGACACATTTAGTACATAAAACACACATTTCTACATATCCCCAGATAGCTTGGATCTGACTGCACATTATTAGATGAATGGCACTCAGATCACACGAATAAGCCTTTCTGCAGGGAAAATAAACAGTTTAACCTGCAGGGCCATAGTCCAAAGGCAAGAGGCGGGCAAGCAGCCCCCTCCAAGGACACGTGGCGAGGTCGGTTTTGCCACACTTCTCCCCTTTGCCCCCCAGACTAACAGGGTATCTGACCTCCTGCCGGTCAGTGCCCTGGTTAGTCCAGCAACCCACCCACGAAGCACAAACAGCAGTACAGCCCACCCACAATAAATGTTTACTCCACCTGGATAAAGTAGCAACTTGTCCATGTCCAGGTGCCTCACCACGGCTGTGTGGGGAGCTGGTAGACTGCCTTGGTGGGTTGCTGAGTGGGCAGAGACAAGCGGTACTCTGCCCTGGTGCCAGTGCTACCACCGAAGTAGCCTGATTGGAGCCTGGTTGTGGGAGGGGGAGACCGACCGTCTCCCCTCTGGGTACACAGCTCTGGGGCTGGGGAACAGGACCGACCGTCTCTACCCCTTGGGCTGTAAGTGCAGAGACTACGGTCCCATCTGCACAGTTGCGGGGCTCAACATCTCCCCTTGGTGGGTTAGGCTGCCGCTGGAGAGAGGGTGTAACAAGCTCCTCTCTCTGGACTGTCAACTGCCGCTGGGGACAGGGGTTAACAGGCTCCTCTCCCTGACCCTCTCTCTGCTGGTGGAGAGGCGGACCAGCTGTCTCCCCTTTCATTATTTTGTCCTGCTGCTGGGGTGTGAGACTGACGGTCTCTGCTCCCTGCAGTACACACTGCCGCTGGGGAGGAAGGACGACACCTTCAGCTCCCTGGGGTACACACTGCCGCTGGGGAGGAAGGACGACACCTTCGGCTCCCTGGGTTACACACTGCTGCTGGGGAGGACGGACGACACCATCAGCTCCCTGGGGTACGCACTGCCGCTGGGGAGGAAGGACGGCACCTTCCGCTGGGGCAGCCTGTAGAAAGTCAGGCTCAGGGGAAGGAAACAAGGGAGGACAGAGGCCAGCGGCGCTCTGCCCAGTTGCCAGCTCTTCTGCTGGGGGTCAGGGAACAAAGGAGTTGGCTGGGGAGGAGAAATATCACTTACCTCCCCCTGGTACTCCGGCTGCTGCTGGGGGGGGAGGTCGATGCTCTCCACTTTCTGTAACTCCAGCTCTAGTTGGGGATCTGGGCCGGTTGCCCAGCATCCCTGTAGGGCCGGTGGAGAGATCTCGGTCCCATCTCCACCTGCCTGCAGGGGGTCCTCCCAGGACCAGTCTATGAGGTCCTCTACCTCGGGTACCTCTGGTTGCTGTTGGGGAGGGAGACCGGTTGTCTCTTCCTCCAATAACACATTCTGCCGCTGGGGAGTGAGACCGACTGTCTCCCCTCCCTGTAAAACATACTGCCGCTGGGGATCTGGGCCGGGTGCCCAGCATCCCTGTAGGGCCGGTAGAGAGACCTCGGTCCCATCTCCACCGGCCACCTCGGTTTCTTCCTCGCCCCACTCTACCTGTGGCTGGAGTTTCTCCCAACGTGCCCACTGGCCTTCCCTCAACGCCCTGTGTTGTAGGTTCCGGGTCACCATGTCCCACACGAACCGCACGTATTTCTCCTCTGGATTGGGTCCGTAAAACTTCAGGTGCAACCCTACCATCGTGCCAAACTCTAGTACGGAGTAGCTATATGCCATGCTTGCTGTAGCCACTGCTGGTTCCATTATGTTGCTGAAGATAAGGACGCTGCACAACTCCACACGTTACCGGTGTCTCCGAGCTGCTTCTCCTCGCACTAGGATGCCATCCCGCCACTTGCCACCAATGTAACGGACCGTTTTGCACACAAGGGGTAAAAACCGTTTAGGCGATCGGCCCCCTTTCCAGAGATCCAGGCACAGCTACTGCAGAACACCAAAACTCATGAACTGGATACAAAATAGCACTCCAACTCCCGAACTGGAACCTCCCAAATAGCTGCTAGCAGACGAACAGGAAAAGCAGACGAACAGCTTACACTCCTGGCAATCAGTCTCTAACAGCATACAGTGAATCCCCTCAAGAACGAGACAAGGCTCCGTGTTGAGGGTCAAGCAGTGGTCTGAGGTGCTGGCACACCCAGCCTGGTTTTTATTACAGTCTTGTAAATACAGGACCGCCCACAGGGAGGTATAAAACAACCAATCACATCACAGTTACATCCCACATATTCCCTCCCCTTATCCTGAGAGGAAACTCAATTATACACACAGTTAAAACATACTTTCTACCCAACTTTCATAACTCCAAAACCATACATCACATTCACATAAAATTACATATTCACAATCAATCCATTCAGGGGAACAACATATTCAAAAATGGCACAAATCAGACAAGGGGTTCAAAAGTTAGTAAAAATATCTTTTGTTCCCCCTGGCTCAAACAGTAAAAGTAAAACATCCCCACAATGCATCCTGGCTTCCTCCCTTCTGCCCTGGAGATAATTGGAGAAGGAATCTAATTATCTCCAAAGACAGAGCCAAACTCCATTACCCACATGGCAGACAAAAAAGACAGTAAAAGACATAAAATTACATACTGACACATTTAGTACATAAAACACACATTTCTACATATCCCCAGATAGCTTGGATCTGACTGCACATTATTAGATGAATGGCACTCAGATCACACGAATAAGCCTTTCTGCAGGGAAAATAAACAGTTTAACCTGCAGGGCCATAGTCCAAAGGCAAGAGGCGGGCAAGCAGCCCCCTCCAAGGACACGTGGCGAGGTCGGTTTTGCCACAGTGTAGTTTTAAAGTTACAGTGTATGGATTAAAACTGTATTTTTCGCAGAAAGGTACACCTAGGTCGCAGGGTAGGGGCGGCCAGGACCGTCTACTTAAAGACTTCATAGCCAAAACAGGACTAGTAGACATATGGCGAGCTCATCAACCAGGGGATAAAGACTACTCATTTTACTCAGCTCCCCACGGAACGTACTCGAGGATAGACCTATTCTTGGCTAACACAGCGGGCATGTCCCGAACAGTCAGGTCACAGGTAGGCAATATATCTTGGTCAGACCACGCAGATATATCCATCACGCTGGGCAACCTATGTATTGCCTCACCATGGACGTGGAAATTGAACACGTCCTTGCTTCAAGATCCAGAGATCCGGAGCAAACCAGGAGAGGAATCACAGAGTACTTCGAGTTGAACACCACCCCCGAGGTGAACGCAAGCACGATCTGGGCGGCCCACAAAGTGGTCATCAGAGGGACCCTGATCAAGCTGGCCACCAGAAAGAAGAAAATTAAACATCAACAACTGGAGAGCTTGCTGGGACAATTGAGATCCCTGGAACAAAAACACCAAACGGTGCCAACGGAGGACACCCTCAGGCAATTGGAAGCAGTGACGCGGGACATCCGCACTTTACTACTGGACGATACGGCTAGATCCATGACCTGGTCAAAAAGGACATTTTTTGAAAAGGCGAACAAGATGGACACCCTCTTAGGCAGGATGTTTAGGCCGAGGCAAGAGAGGTCCCACATAACGGTAATCAAACATCCGGACGGCACGAAGAGAACAAGACCAGTAGAGACAGCGGAGATCTTCAAGGATTTTTATAAAAGATTGTACAATCACACACCGGACGGAAGCCCTCACAGAGAGCTTGAAGAAGAGTATATCTTGCAATACCTGGACAAGCTGGGGATGGCTAGATTAAACGGAGAGGCAGCACACACTCTGGTGGCAGATATCTTGGAAGACAAAGTGGACAAAGCTATCTCGAGTCTGAAAGGCAATAAAGCACATGTCACTGGCGACCACAGTGCTCTTGCCCAAGCCCGGAAAGGACCCATTACACCCAGAAAACTACAGGCCCATATCGTTTATCAACCAGGACCTAAAGATATTAGCAAAAATACAAGCAGACAGGCTGAACCCATTGTTGAATTCTCTCATCCATGCAGACCAGGTTGGGTTTATCAGAAGTAGACAATTGTTCGAAAACACTAGAAGGAATATAGATTTGATTTGGAAGCAGGTGGCCTCAGGGACCCCCACATTAGTGGTATCCATAGATGCAGAAAAAACTTTCGATAGAGTCCGGTGGCAATTTCTGTTCCCAGTTTTGAAGAGCCTGGGCTTCCCAGAAGAATTCTTAACGATAACGAGAGCAAAGTATCACAACATACGGGCACAAGTGCAGGTATCGGGAGCCCCACTGCACCCTTTCAAGCTATACAATGGAACAAGACAGGGATGCCCACTCTCCCCCCTTCTTTTTGTCTTAGCACTGGAGCCATTGCTTCAGGCGGTACGTCGACATCCGAACATTCCAGGTGTTAGGGTGGGGGACAAGGAATTCAAAGTATCAGCTTACGCGGACGACGTCCTCTTGACCATCACGACTCCACTGGAATCAATGGCAGCAATACAGGAAGTCATATCAGAGTACGGTATGGTATCGGGATATAAGGCGAACATCCAAAAGTCCAGCGCCCTCCCGTTGTGCCTGACGCAAGCTGACACGGCTAAGTTACAGGAGATCTACAAAATCCGCATGGAAACAGACTCCATGAAGTATTTAGGAATTAATATGACAGTGGACCCCGAACGTTTATACTTGGCTAACTAAGCCCCTATATTAAGAGAGCTGATGGGAGACCTAGACAAGTGGACAGAAAAACCCATATCCTGAATGGCAGGATAAATTCGGTGAAGATGAATATCCTTCCATGTAAATTATTCCTTTTTCCAGGCGTTACCAATCCGAGTCACGAAGACACAACTGCTACCTCTGCAAAAATCAATAGGAGATTTCATTTGGCAGAACAAGAGACATAGAATCGCCAAACAGGTATTATACCGACGTAAAGATAGAGGGGGCCTGGGCCTTCCGAACCTCTACTTCTACTACCTAGTGGCTCAACTGACGCAGATAGCCATGTGGCACTCCACACCGGATGAGAGAAGGTGGGTGGAAATAGAGTCTACGATGGTGGATGTCGATGTCCCCCCAGTTTACGATATGGGTCCCCAAGGAACACAGACCGGCGATACGGATAACATGCCCAGCGATCCTCAACTCAATCCGAATATGGGACACTTGTAACACCAAATATGGGCTGGCATCATCCCCTTCCCCTCTGACCCCTATTCTTAGAAACAGAGAATTCCCACCTGATATGACCCCCAGAGATTTCCGTAACATCGAAAGAACTGGGCTACAACGGATACATCAGTTATATCACAATGGAGAGGTCGTACAATTTGCAGATCTCCAATCAGGTAACCACCTAACCCCTGCGGATTTTTTTAGGTACGTCCAAATACGTGATTTCGCAAAAAAACCACATATTAAAATAGCAGCCTCCGGGAAGCCCACTTTTCACGAGAGGATATGCTCGGAAGGGGTAACCCCCAAGGGGTTGATCACACTATTATACGCTCACCTTAGCAAAGAAAATAAAGAATGGGGAAGGTTAACATACACTGACCAATGGGAGACTGACCTCGGGGAGATTCTGGGGGGGGGGGTGAGTGGCAGGAGATATGGTAAGCAAATGCTAAGGTCTCCATTTGTGTCACTTTTCAGGAGCAGGCAGGGAAAACTATGTTCAGATGGTATACTACCCCAGTCAAACTACATAGAATGCACAAACGGGAGACTGACGATTGTTGAAGGGGATGTGGAGCCCGAGGGACGTACATACACATGTGGTGGGAATGCTCAAAGCTACTTGGTTTCTGGAGGTCGTGGAGGATCTGTTGAGACAGACTTTTGATAGGCCTCTGAAAATGGACCCGTGGATATACTTGTTGAATAGATCTATAGACGGATGGACCAAACGGGAACATAAATTAGTACACAAAATCACTTTGTGTGGGCGCCGAGCAATAGCGACAGCATGGCTTACACTAGAGGGCCCAGAGTTCACAGGGGTTATATCCAGAATGAAAGAATGTAGAGTAATGGATGATCTAACGGCGAGGGTGAGGGGGAACATCACAACATTTAAAAAAACTTGGGAACCATGGGACAATAGTGTAGTTGGCTCGAGGGGAGACTGAGGGCCTCCCCCGTCCAAGTACGAACCAAAAGGTAAACACCCTCACTAGAAGGGACTCCTATGTCAGCGAAGTGGCTGTTTGCCCCCTCTCCCCCCTCCCCCTTGTCTTCTCTACCTCACTGAACTCTTCTTACTATATATCTTTGTTTCATATTCTCTTTCCTTTCTTTTTTCTCTGTTATTGTTTTATTTTTCCAGGCTAGATCATACGGTCGGAGGAATAATGTAGCAAAGGTATGACAATGATTAGCAAATCTAATGGCTACTTGTAATGTTTAACTGCTTGTTCTTCTGTTAAACATAAAACATCTGCATAGATGGCGTGTGCCAAACATACAGTAAGAAATGGGCTTGCAATGATAAAGCTGAACAATATCCTCTTGCACTGATATGTAACTGAAGTTCATTGGCTTCTTTATAAGCCCAAATTGAATGAATACCTGATATGGTTATTGAAAAATAAAGGAATTAAGATACCTCAATAACCGACGGGTGCCAAAGATATAGTAAGAACCGGGATTACAATAATGACGCTGACTTGTGTTCTCTTGCAAGGAAATGTAATTTAATCAGCTTCTTTATAAGCCCAAAATTGAATGTGTATTTGTTATGTCTATTTGAAAAATAAAGAATTTAATAGAATAGGGAATTATATATATAAAAATATAAAAACCCTCAGTAGATGGCAGGTGCCAATGGTTTTTTAAGGAATGGGCATATAATGTATTTGTTGAACTGCATTATGTATCCAAAATTATTTTCAAGTTGGCTTCTGCGTAAGCCCAAAAGTTGATGTAAACTTGCTATGTCTATTGAGCAAAAATAAAGAATTGAAGAAAAACAAACAAAAAAACTGTATTTTTACTGAATATGTGTTAATTATGTTAAACCATTGTGTAACATAATTATATCACAGGCAGAGGGGAGGATTTTTGTATGTAATTGCTGGGAGTGGTTCTGTAATGTACGTGTATGATTGGTTGTTTTGTAAAACCCTGTGGGTGGTCCTATCTCAGGGAAACCTGCATAAAAGAAGGTTCTTTGTGTGCCAATAAACAGAATGACTTGACCCTCTAATTTGCAGCCTTGACTCATGTTTGTAGGGGACAGCTATATTCACACTGGGGATTGCTATGCTCTGCATACTCCCTTGAGCTTTAAACACTTAGCTCTTTTAATAGCTTGTTCCGGTTACGCTCTCCTTGGAGGAGAGCTCTTCCTCACATGGTCCTGAATGCTGGAGGTTCATCCAGGGTGGAAGGAAGACGGCGAGACTCCAGTGAAGCTACGGCGGTTGTGTAGTCTGCAGTGGTTGTGGTGTCTGCTGAAGTGTTTGGAGTCCTCAGGAAGCGCTAGGAGCATCCATTAACGGAGGGTACTCGGTCGGAGTACAGGGAGCTCCGTTACACCATCTTTTTTTTTTTTTATTTGACAATTTTTATTTTTCAAGTAAATGGGAGTACAGAAGGCAAATGGGGTAGGGTGACATAGTAAGAGTCAATGCAGTACAGATACAATAACTTTTTTAAGGTATACAAATTTACATTTCCCACATTTGTTCACAGTTTAATCATTAACCTTAGATCTTGGCTTGTGAGCGGTGTTTCACCACCTAGTTGTTTGGCAGTTGATCATGGTCTCGGGTGGTGTGGGTTGAGCATAACCGGGCTTGGCCCGGGGGTCTGTTTACTGCTTGCACTAGTAGTGTTGCCTTATAGGGGGGGGGGGGTGAAGAGGGTTCTGGGGGGAAGGGGGTTGAGTGCCGGGTGGGTTGAGTGTAGTGTTTATATTGTTCCGTGTGTATGTGGGTGTGTTCTGCCTCCAGTCGGGAAGGTTCTCATTCCAGCCTGAGGAGTATGATTATGTATCAGGTTCGGTTGGGTTTGTGTTTGTCCCACAGTTCCTACGCTTTGATCCAGTAGGGGTTTTTCTGTTGTACTTTTCGTGCCATAGTTTCATAAGCTTTGGTGGTCTCAATCGCCTCGATACACTGGTTGGTCATTGGAGTGGTTGTCTGATTCCACCTCCTGCTAATAATGGTGAGAGCCGCAATGAGAATGTGGTATAGTAGTAACCTGAGGTGAGTGTGTGGCTCGTGTGGGAGCATGAGTAAAAAGCCAGTTCTGCTGTACGGAGGGATAATCCACTTAACTGGATATTTTAGTGGGAGTATCCCTCTCGTGCAGCAGTGCATGGTAGAAGAAATGTCTTGGTTGTTAAGTCTCCCATGTAGTCCCCTACTGTACAACCACTGTAAAGTCAGAAAGGAAACTCCTTGCATGGGGAACCACATAAGTACTGTGCCTTGTGATTAAAACCTCAGTTGACTCCGAGTTGAACAGCGCAGTGAATCCGCAGGAGAGGGGGCAGTGAGGAAGCAGAGCTTGCCCGAATCTTTAATCTCAAGAGTCATCGTCGGATCACGGCTATTTCAGAATTCACTATGGACAAGGCTGAATTAATTCAGAAGGCCAAACTGTCAGAACAGGCTGAGCGTTATGATGATATGGCTGCCGCAATGAAGGCAGTGACAGAGCAAGGAGGAGAACTAAGTAACGAAGAAAGGAACCTGCTCTCTGTTGCCTACAAAAATGTGGTTGGTGCCCACCGCTCTTCCTGGCATGTGATTTCTAGTATTGAACAAAAAACAGAGGTCAATGAGAAGAAGCAACAGATGGCAAAAGCAAGGTTTTCTACTTGAAAATGAAAGGAGATTATTATTGGTACCTTTCAGAAGTAACATCTGGTGAAAAAAGCCAGAAACTGTAGCTTGCTCTCAACAATCTTACCAGGAAGCTTTTGAAATTAGCAAGACCGAGATGCAGCCAACACACCCCATTCGACTTGGATTGGCTCTAAACTTCTCAGTGTTTTATTATGACATTCTCAATTCCCCCGAGAAAGCATGCAGTCTAGCAAAAGCAGCATTTGATGAAGCAATAGCTGAGCTGGACACACTGAATGAGGAGTCTTACAAAGACAGCACTCTTATCATGCAGCTACTAAGGGGCAATCTTACATTATGGACCTCAGAAAACCAGGGAGAAGAGGCTGATAATGTAGAGGGAGACAACTAACTGCCATGCTTCAGTTTTTCCCTTTTTTTCCCAATTTTTTTTATTTGTGTTTTTATTATTTAAGTCACTCTGTATTGTACACACATGTTTTTGTGCGACAAGTAAAAGAAAAAAAATACATTGACTTTCACAACCTCCGTGTAGCAGAACAATGTGGATTAAGGAAAAAAATGGCTAATAGTTACTCAAATAGAGTAATACATTCTAAGTATATAATGGCATTAAAAATGTATCTCAGTTTATTATGAGGCGATTTAAATTTGTAATTATGTCCTTGGGTTGTTGTTGTTTTATTTTTTGTTGGTTTTTTTGTAGGGTGTTTACTGCACACTGTGATTACGAGCTTTTGTCACTAACATTATAATAGAAATATGTTCTCACAGACAACCTACCTATTTTAAACAGTGCAGTTCTTCTGAATCTATTTCACAGAATGTTGGCCACCGTACTGTGAAACTTTGGATCCGTTATACATTTCCTAGTTTGTAAAGCTGAATACAATCAAGTCTTGTGTTTGAGTATTGACTCAGTGTAGAGTTTTAAACCTGGTTAAATGCTCACACATGCCACTTTAATTTGTACAAAATCAGGGGCTTGTACAGAATATATACACTATACAATAATATCTGTAACTTTTTGCCAGTGTGGTTATGTTGTCCATTTATAGACACATATTCTTTGGGGCATACACCCTTTTGCAAAGCCCCTCTGGTATTTATAACGGTTACAAAGAAGTTGTTAAATATGAGAAATCTGATCTTTTGGGGATATGTTTTCACAGTATTTTAACTGTTTACATTTCATTTTTTTTAATTCAAATTACACGTTGTTCTGCTTGCCCTTCCTGATCCTATTATTCTGTTGAAACCTATTTGCACAACCCACTTAGGTTGAACGCTTCCAATATATAAATTCTCTACCATGCAATTTTTATGTTCCTCCAACGACTCCCTAATCATTATTGGTGATATTGCAACATTAAGTTATTCAGCAATGTGTTCTAGATAGTACTATGGCAGTACCTAAAATAACAATTGGTAAATTGTATTTAACAGTGCTGTACTGTATTCTGTTTGTAATCACTGTCCCAATTTAACCACATCATTCCCCTTTTTACCATTCCACGTGGCTGTATCTTTTCTAGGTGTCTGTCCATCTGTCTGCTTCGTAGAAAAATTCATGCACTGATTTTCAAATTTCCTAAGTCGAACAAAACCGTGCAGTTAAGACTTGTGCTTGTGGAACTGAGCCTGTGTGTATATCTGGTAGCTCTATTTTGCTTTGTTTTTAACTGACCAGTATTCTGCCTAAAGTTTGCTTCTGTGTTGGTTTTATTACCTAGCACACACGTGGTTGTGAAAATAGTCTAGCAAAAAAAAGCATGGACAAAAAAAACCTGGTTATTGATGTACTCAAATTTGTGTATGTATTTTAAACAGTTCTAGTTTCACCCTACACAGAATAATCAGGAACATGTTAAGAATTGAAGAGCAAAATAAATAAACAATGTTATCAGTTAAAAAAACAAAAAAAAAACAAACCTCAGTTGACTCCCAGCCTATGTGTCGTCTAGTTCTTGGGAAGGAAGGATTTATTCAACACTACCGGGATTATTATATGCTGTATTTGTTATACCTGGATTATTATATGCTGTTCCTGTCTACCAGCGGAGACACTGTGGATTATACTACCTCTCCGCTACACAGATCCTTCAATGCTTTCCTTTCAGCTGGAGAGCAATTATGTGGTGTGTGATTTGAGCAAGACAATATTTTCTTCGTGTCTGTTTTGATAGTTGTACAAATGTCTTGATCAAGTGGTGGGCGTTCTTAGGTTCCCAAGTGCTTTTTAACTTAAAGCTGATGCTTCTTTGGGGGACCATCGTTCCTGAATGGCCTGTATGTTCAGTGTTCTCTCCATTTTATAGATTTCTATTTCCGTTTGAAACTTATTAGGTTGTGAAGTGGGTACAAATGTTAATCCTTTGGTTAGTACTTTTATGTGATCACTTGTTTATATATAAAATATTTAGTATTATTAATGGATGATATACATTTTTCCATCAAATGACTGATAGGTCATACATGGTTCTAGAATATCATGTTATATGAGCATACAAGATATTGCATCTTCAGATCTGTTTGCATTAAATGGACACTATAGTCACCAGAACAACTACAGCTTATTACATTTGTTCTGGTGAGTAGAATCATTACCTTCAGGCATTTTGCTCTAAACACTGTCTTTTCAGAGAAAATGCAGTGTTTACATTACAGCCTAGTGATAACTTTACTGGCCACTCCTTAGATGGCGGCTAGAGCTGCTTCCTATCTCAGTCTTGCCTAGTTTGAATCAAAACATTCAGTATCTCCTCCCTCTGCATGTAGACACTGAACTTTCCTTATAGAGATTCAATTCATCTCTATGAGAAGATGCTGATTGGCCAGGGCTGCGTTTGACTTCTGCTGGCTCTGCCCCGATATGCCTCCTTCACAGTCTCAGCCAATCCTATGGGGAAGCATTGTGATTGGTTCAGGACAACACTTCTGATGATGTCAGCAGGCAGTTTGCTGTTCTGAGGGAAACAGGGACAAAACCAGCAGCTTCAGGCTTGAATACAAGTACGATTTTACTATATTTAGGGAGGCAAGAGGGGACAAGGGGGACTAGAGGGTGGTTTTAACAATATAGAGTCAGGCATATATGTGTGTGTGTTCCTGACCCTATAGAGCTCCTTTAATGCATCTACAATAATCATCAGAAGCCTTACAATATTCCACCATGCTATCAGTGACGTCATTTCCGCCAACCACAAACCGGGTCTTAATACCTCTGAACCACCAATGATTGATTATTAATTAAACAAGTAGGGGTGGTGAACCCAATTATCCAACAGGGGCTCCCGACCCCAGGTGCTTCTAGGTCATACAAGTAAATTCAGTAAACCTGTAATTATGATTGGTTAATCACACACCACGTGACTTTAAAGAGGAGGAGCCAAGAAACTGATTAAACATTTAAAAAGCAAAAGATTCCTGAGGCTACATTACAGCTGACTGAAGAAGCTCACAGACTTTTCTAAAATTAGAATATCTATAAAGGAGTCATTATCAGACTGGAGCAATTCAAATGGAGTACAAGAGAAATGGGATTATTTAAACGTTGCACTGCTGAAGGCAACAGAAAATTGCATTAGGCTTGTCAGTAAAAGCAAAAAATTCAAGAAACTACTCAGCAGATGTGGCCAAAATAGTAAAAAACTAAAAGTTAGCATTTAGTAATTATATAAAAAAATCCTGAATGAGGAAGACGGAATGATCTATAAGATTAGACAGAAAGAGGCTAAGCAAGATATAAGAGCTTACAAATCACACACAGAAGAGAAAATAGTACAGCCAGTAAAAAAAGGGGGATAAAACATTTATTAGGTACATAAATGAGAAAGGAAAGTAAAACAAGGATTAGTTAGTGTCACGATTCGGGGAACCCAACACGCTGGCACACACACACACAGAAAAGGTGCCGTACCGGACCTTAGAGTGGCCGGGCTAAGCACGCTAAGAATAGTCAGGAGACAAGCCAAGTAAAGGGAGCCAGAAAACGGGAGAGCGAGAAACAAGCCGAGGTCAAAGGAGTGGAGAAGACAGGATAATCGGAATAACGAGCCGGATAATCGGAATAACGAGCCAAATAATCAGTAACCAGAGAGCAAGATGAGAACACTACGCTACAGGTATCACAAGACCACAACAGGACACTGAGGGACAGGAAAGGTAAGTATAAATACCCTTGGTTTAATTCTGATTGGATAACTTCCAATCAGAATTAACAATCACACGTGGGGGATATCTATACCTCCCACTGTGATTGTGGTACTGTTTCTTTAACGCCGGGTCACTCACGTGACCCCGGCGTTTACATAATTCATTGACCTCCCAGCGTGCAGCATTATACATGCTGCCGCTGGGGGGCGTGGAGGACGCGGGCGGCGAGCGGCAGAGAGGAGACGCCGCTCGCCGACAGGTAAGCAGAGGGGAGACCGCGGGCGGCGATGGACTGAGGGTGAGTGCTGCAAGTGGCGTGCAGCCTCCCCTCCTAGCCGTCCGCGGATCCCTGACATAACCCCCCCTCGAGGCCCGCCCAACGGGCTGGGAAGCCGAAGGCTTCGAAGGGAACCGCGCATGAAAGGAGCGGATCAAAGAGGGCGCATTTAAGTCAGAGGCAGAAACCCAGGACCGCTCCTCAGGGCCGTAACCCTTCCAATCAACCAGATACTGCAACCGACCCTGAGAAAAACGAGAATCAAGCAGAGCAGCCACTTCGTACACGTCATTAGAGACAGCGCGGAGGGAATCTGGACGCCTGAGAGGACCAGAGAATCGATTACAGAGCAGGGGCTTCAAAAGGGAGGTGTGGAAAGTGTTAGGTATACGCATGGAAGGAGGCAAGGCCAGGGAGTAGGACACAGGATTGACCCTACGCAATACCTTATAGGGGCCAAGGAACCTGGGCGCGAATTTCATTGAGGGGACCCTGAGGCGGAGATTCTTAGAGGACAACCAAACCCTATCACCCGGGACATAAGAGGGAGCAGCACCCCTACGACGATCAGCAAATCTCTTCTGAGTAGCAGTCGCACGAGAAAGAGTAGCATGGACCTGATCCCACATCTTCCGTAAGGAGGTGAGGTGCTCTTCCAAAGCGGGTATTCCCTTGTCGGAGAACACGCCGGGAAGGACAGAGGGTTGGAACCCATAAGCAACCATAAAAGGACTTAAGCCAGTGGACGAATGAGTCACAGTGTTCCTGGTGAATTCAGCCCAAGGAAGGAGGTGAGACCAGTTGTCCTGGTGTGCATTCGTGAAGCAACGTAAATATAACTCCACAGATTGATTCGCTCGTTCGGCCGCTCCATTAGATTGTGGATGATAGGAGGAAGTAAACGACAAGGAAATCCCCATCTCAGCACAAAAGCCCCTCCAAAACTGAGAGACAAATTGAGGACCCCTGTCAGATACGATATCCTGTGGTATACCATGCAAGCAGAAAACCTCTTTGGCAAATACCTGAGCCAACTGAACCGCAGAAGGTAGTTTCTTAAGTGGAATAAAGTGTGCCATTTTAGAGAATCTATCAGTCACAGTCAAAATTACAGTCATTCCATCGGATGAAGGAAGATCCACAATAAAGTCCATGGATAAGTGGGTCCATGGTTTCTTGGGTACGGATAAAGGCATTAGGAGTCCCGGGGGTTTGACATTAGGGGACTTACACTGTGCACAAACATGACAAGCCTGCACATAATCCACCACGTCTTGCTTAAGTGAAGGCCACCAAAACTGTTGAAGGAGACCCTTGTATGTTTTGGTAACCCCTGGGTGGCCAGCCGTTTTGGCGGTGTGAAATAAAGCTATTAATTTCTTTCTATCTTTCTCTTTCACGTATAATCTACCAACAGGTGTCTCAGAGGGTGCTTGGGTTTGGTATGCCTTGATACCATCAAGAAAAAGAGACGAAATAACTAAACGGGTAGCAGCTATTATCTTAGACGTGGGTACAATGGGTTCAGGAGTGGGGGCGATAGACTCCAAAGTTTCGTATTGTCGGGAGATAGCATCAGCCTTGACATTACGGTACCCAGGCCTATATGTGATAATGAACTGAAAGCGTGAAAGAAATAAGGACCATCTGGCTTGACGAGAGGACAACCTTTTAGCATCAGCTATATAGGAGAGATTCTTATGATCAGTTATAACCAGGATTTTGTGTCTAGCTCCTTCTAATAAGTACCTCCATTCTTTAAATGCCATCACAATAGCTAACAGTTCCCTATTCCCGACGTCGTAATTCTTTTCCGAATCAGACAGTTTTTTAGAAAAGTAACAACAGGGATGGAGGGGTTCGTTATAGGATAATCTTTGTGATAATACAGCTCCTATACCTGATTCTGAAGCGTCTACTTCCATTATAAAGGGAAGGGAAGGATCAGGATGGTGTAGCACAGGGGCAGTGGCAAATGCCTTTTTGAGAATTTTGAAGGCTTTGATGGCTTCAGGATTCCAAACCCTGGGGTGCAAACCCTTTTTAGTTAGTTTCGTGATAGGAGAAATGACCGATGAAAAGTTTTTAATAAACCTGCGATAATAATTGGCAAAGCCTATAAATCGCTGTATTGCCTTAAGACCTTGAGGAAGAGGCCAAGACAATATAGCTTCTAATTTAGAAGGATCCATACTGAACCCCTGTTCAGAAATGACGTACCCTAGGAATTGTACTGATTTCTGGTCAAATAAACATTTCTCCAATTTACAATAAAGACTGTTCTGTAGCAATCTCTTAAGTACCTTCCTCACATGGGCATGATGTGACTCCAAATCAGGAGAGAATATGAGTATATCATAGAGATAAACCACAGCACAGACATGCAGTAGATCTCTAAGGACATCATTTATGAGGTCCTGAAAGACCGCAGGAGCATTACACAGTCCAAAAGGCATGAC